AAAGCTCCATTGTGTAACATTTAAGAGGATCTAAATGTAATAAAATATTCATAGGTATGTTTTCATTAGTGTTTAATCATCTGAATATAAGAATTGTTGTGTGTTTGTTACCTTAGAATATTTTAAGACTGCTTTATATATAAATATAAATATATAAAGCACAGTATTTTATATATATATACATAAAAATGTCCTGATGAAATCATATCTATAACTAGCTAATTTACACTTCACAGCTTGTTCACATTCTCAGGTCGTCAAAAACAGACGTGAGTGGTGTTCAGTTAGTTGCAATCTGCATCTTCACCACTAGATGTCACTAAATCCTACATACTGGTTCTTTAAACAATTAAAGTGACACATATTAAGTTAGCTAACTATAGTTACATCTAAAAGCTAATTTTATCAGACAAGAAACTGCAAAATTATACTCAAATGTCCTGATTAAATATAAAAAAACATTTATATGTTAAATATTAGATTTATTGGATCATATTATTAAAATAAAAGTTGTTTTGAATTCAATGGAAGCAAACATTTTATATAAACTCCTCATAGATCTCGGGATAAAACCATTAATGTAAAATGTATTTAGTAATTACGTGTTCCTCATTTTATCCTATTAGAATAATAATAATAATAATAATGAATAATTTAAATACTGGACCAATAAAGCTGGTTTTTAATCCATATTGTTGTTCTGGAGGGGTTTTCAAAATAAAATCACCTCCTAGGATGTTAATAAAAACCTGCTGTAGCCTCAGTTTGACCGATTTGACCCCTTTCAGTGGATTTGTGCTTAAATGAGCTCGTACTTTAAGACCTTTCCCACATTGGACATTAACGAGTTAACGTCTTTGTTCATTCACAAAGTTGCGTAACTCCAAAATGCTTCACACTTTGGATTACCAGGCACAGCACGAGACTCCCGTTAAACACCGAATAACCTCGAATGTAAAACAGCAGCGACACGTTCTGATAAAATAGCACATTTATTAAAAAGAGACAGCATTTATCAGCATTTCCCCCCCAGTTGTTGCAGATATATGCCACATCTGAGTGAGATCAGGGGTCTACAGTCCTCAGCCCTCCGGCTGCCGCCTACAGCCCTCAGAGCAACTTATTGATCACATGTACATCTATTACTCGGACTGAAGCACACACACTCGCTGTTTCATGGACGATACGACAGGCTCTCAAATTTGTCTCAGTTTAAATTCATCTCACACGTTCAGCTGCTTTAAAAAAAGAAGAAAAACAAGGAAAAACAAGTTGACATGAATCAGAGTAAAAGGTTCACCAGGCGCCACGTTAAGAAGAGTTCGAATGGAAATGACGGCAGTTCTTTGGTTCTCGTGAGAAATAACACAGAGCAGATCTTCATTCCACTCCAGGTCGTTCAATCAGGAGACGTTATCGCCTAAAACTGGTGTGAAAAAGGCTGGTGAGGAGCTCAAATACATGAGAGATAAGACTTTAAAATAAACTCTGGATATACAAAACAGTCCCTCCAGGATTTCACAGGCTTTATTTGGGTTGTTGTGGCCTAAAAGGGCTGATTTTAAAGCTCCAGTGTGAAACATTGACGAGGATCTATAGTCAGAAATATTATATTATATTAATAGGTATGTTTTCATTAAGTGTTTAATCACCTGGAAATAATAATCAGTGTTTTTTGTTACCTTAGAATGAGACGTTTTTATCTCCAGTGGCGGAGTCCGCCATGTGGCAATCTTCAATTACACCACTAGATGTCATTAAATGCTACAAATTGGACTTTTAACTGCGTCTTTTCTAAAAAAAACTACGATGTTTTTAGGCGTTTTTTTGTAATGAAATTCGCAAAGTAGTTGCGATTTAAAAAATAATAATTAAAAATCGTAGGCAACTTGTTCCAGTGAGAATAAAATCGCAATCATTTGAAATTGTTATTAATCAAAAGATAATAATAATAATCCGAGTGGGATGGTAAACCGCGTCATTTAAAAAAAAAAAAAAAGTAATGTTCGCAGCATTAGCTTCAGGTTGACGTCCACTTCTCTAACTTGCTAAACGTGGTTACGTATCACTTCGGTCGATTTCACAAAAATTATGGAGCAAAACTAATTTCTGATCAATATTTAAAATGCAAATAATCTGCTCATTTTACATAAACTTCCTGCTGTTATTATGATCACTGTTTGTCGTTATTATTGAAGATAAAATGAAATAAACATAAAATATAATCAGTTTGCTCTGATAGAAACGAGCTCCCTTAAGGAAAATGTTGGGAACAACTGCTTTAAACTATGTTGAAAAGACTATTTTGAAAAGAAAACCAGATTTTGAAGGTGGTTAAAAGATAAAAGTGAATCACATCTTAAGTTAGTTAGATAGTTAGCCAGCGTTTTGATGTTTACAAGATAAAAATGACATATCGACTAACCTCGAGCATCACTAGGAAGGAAGTTGGAGCTCAACGTTTTGGACAAATTCACTGATTGTTTTAATTTACATTAATTGTTTTAACTTCCTGGAGGGACTGACACACATTTATCTTATAAACCTTTACATTTGTTTCTGACTGACTTTAAGGATATTAAATATACTGACGGCGGTTTGTGTGGAATGAAAATCAAACCCTGAAAGGTGTTTAACTGAGAAAGGGGGTTAAAAAACAAACAAAATAAAACAAAAGAGCAACCTCAAGGCGAATGATGGTAAAGCACAATGTATTCAATAATTCAAGGCAACAGAGACAAACACACAAAAAAAAAGGACATGATTTTAAAATACATGAGGCAGTGCAAAAATGTCACACCAATAAAATATCAACGCTTTTAAAAACTCAAAACAGATCCTGAGGAAAAGAATTCAAACATACAAATCCAAGCGTATTATAAAATATCTCCAGATCAGCCCCCACTCTGATTTAAATTATATATAGAATAGACTGGAAGATCCCACATTTTCAGACATAATCTCATTTATTTTAACTTTTGTTTCCCCCCCAACCCGACAGTCAGTTCATTCGGCTGCCCGTTAAATTTCTTCTTTTATACTCTGTACCAACAACCGTTCCTCCCCAGGAGAAAGGCCACAAAGTCTTCCTCAGGAGAAAAATTAAAACAAAACAAACTCCCCCCCCCCAAAAAAAAGAAAATGACCTCAGCTACAACACAAAAGTGATGAAAACAAAAACCGTCACACGATAAAAAAGTGTGATCTTGTACCTTTATATACAGACGCAGCTGTGTAGACTCGCAGAGGAACAGAACGCGGTGACTTTGGTGCTCAATTTAATGAACTTTTTGCATCTTTTCAGAGGAGAAACAAACAAAAAAAACCCTATATGGTCTTAAATATGCAAAAAAACAAA